TCCCTCCCAACATTTAGAAAAAAAATAATAAATAAGGAAAGGAAAGGGGCGCTTTGCAGCGGCCCTTGCCGCGACGGTGTTTCCATTTTTAGTTTATTTCTGCATTTCCCGCGCGCGCCCCCCTCAACCCCACGCAGTAACATTAAAACGAATAAGGGGAAATAAAAGTACGAGGCGAGGAGGAGCGGGAAAAGAAGAGCCCCTCGCCTGGCGCGCGCCGCGCGGGGCTTCCACAGCAGTCGCGAAAGAGAACCCGCGCCCGCTGGATTCGAGAGGGTCGGTCAGCAGAAAGCTCCTCTCCAGTAAACCAAGCCTGAGCAAGAGCCCTTTCAAGCTTCCGAAATGGATTTTTAAAAAAACACCACCAGGGCTCTGTGGAATGGGGTTCTCAGTAGTGAAGGGAAGATAGCCCTTTTGTTCCAAGCTAATAACTCAATAATGATGGGGCCCACGTGCAGTTGGGTTTAATGTATGTACGAGAGGAAGAGGTTGTATATTTTCAAGTAAATCAGGATATATACGACTGATAAGGAGGAAGATACCTACTCTCCTGGCCTGTAGACCTCATATTCTCCATGGTGGGGGTTCTCAGTAGTGAAGGGAAGATAGCCCTTTTGTTCCAAGCTAATAACTCAATAATGATGGGGCCCACGTGCAGTTGGGTTTAATGTATGTACGAGAGGAAGAGGTTGTATATTTTCAAGTAAATCAGGATATATACGACTGATAAGGAGGAAGATACCTACTCTCCTGGCCTGTAGACCTCATATTCTCCATGGTGGGGGTCTTTCTTCTTTTTAAAAATATTTTTAGTGGAAGGGGAGAGAGTGTTAAAGTAAGGGCTTTTACACACACGCACACACACAAACACACACACAACCTCCCCTCAGTTGCTGAAACTGACAGAAGATAAATCCCCCAGAAGAGGGGGGGGGTTGCAGGGGGAGAGAAACTCTTTTTCTGCATTAACATCCTTAAGACATTCTATTGCATGAACAAGAAGGTACTTTCTGTCTGAACAAAAAGGCTGTTATTTGCCAGGAAAGGGTGAGCACCCAGGAGCTGGCTATGCTCTTTCAGATTAGGGGTAGTTCTATGTGCAGGGTTAGCGTTAATAGAGCGGGTGGTGTAAGACTAGAAAATCCTGTTTCTATATAAAGCCCTGAAGTGTCAGGGTGAGAATGGGTTTGCAGTGCATGTGTTAGCTTTAACAAGTGCTTGTGGTATCCTGCTAAAGACACAAAGTTTGGCAAGAAAAATCAGGGAGGTTGTACATGCCAGTTTTTTTGGCGATCGCTTTCTAGCATCCTGCTTAATCAATTAATTGTTTGGGGGGATGCAAAATATTAGGTATCCCCTAGTTAAATTGCGGGATGTTAGAAAGAACCCACAACAAGGCAGACCCATTGTTTACAGCCCAAGTCCAAAATTCAGGGTCTCTTTGGAGGCAAGACCCATATGGACAGTCTTCCTTAACATCTTTGTATATTGTGAGGAGAGACCAGAAGAACAATAAATCCACAGAGGCTGGAATGCAAAATGAGTATTTTCTTAAAGAAAAGAATAAAGCAATGTAGAGGACATGGCTCTCTCTATATAAATATAGTGTTTCTTTCTGAATTTTACAGACAGAGTTTTCAAAGGGTTTGCTCTACCCTTGTTGCATTTATTTTTGGAAATTAAAAAAAAATCAGTCCCATCCGGAATAGGAGGTTCAGAGTTAGAAACAATTTATTTCCACTGAATGTTTGAATTTGTTTCCAGTGTAACCTAACCAGCCTCTATATTTAACCCAAAGTCAATATATGTATTTCTGTCTTCAAGCATTTTGTCATATGGTTGATTTTCAAATCCTGCGGCAGTCTCTGGAGTGTGCACCCTCATTTTGTGTGTATGGGTCTTGTATGGGATATATATATATATTTATGGAAGTATGGATTTAATCTTAGATTTACAAAACCACACACAGCCACTTAAGTTTTGTTTACAAGTTACTTTAAACATCTGAGGGAAAAATGTGCTGTAGTTTTTATTTTTCTCAACTCAGCAGTAAGATACATTATTGCTAGCTTGATGAACTGTGAATGCTAATAAAATTATATCTGCTTTAATGGGATTACAATTAGTACATGGATTAAAAAGGATGGCATGAGGTAGACCAGAATGGGTAGAAATTGTTGACTGGGATTGTAAACATTTCTTTTTTAAAAAAACATACATACCACATGTAGAATTACTAATGGGCTTTTAGCATGGCAAGATTGTAAAAGTGCTAACAAATGCAACAAGCTACACACATTTAATGGTTCTGTATTTGAGACGACTGAATCATAGATTTGCAGGGTTTTCCCCAAGTTTATTTTTTAACCAATCTTCCTGCCTGCCCGCCTTCCTTCCGCCCTACCTATCTACAAAATAGAATATGCTCACCGAATGAAGTCTTTCATAAACTGTTTGGTTCCAGCAGTATGAGGGGGGAAAAACCTTTTCAAACACAAACCCAGGCAAATTGGATGAGGAGTATGGTTTGTGTCAGTCATTGTGCTTTTCTTCCATAGTCTTCTCTTGATTGCTTTTATTTTTCCCTTCTCATATGTGTACATGGATGTTCCATTGGGAATCTTTATTAAGCTTATAATAAGTACCACTGTTCCTATAATCTTTTCTTTTAAATGTGTTAACATTTTTGGGTGGGTCCATGCCCCCCCTTTTATGTTCACACTGACAATTCCTGTGGAATAAATTATTGATGGAATCTTGACGCTGATACACAATTATAATAGAGGGGAAGACCTTTCCAGAACCAGAAGCCATAATCCGTGGTGTTTTTTTTAATTTTTATTATTATTATTATTATTATTAATTTGTAAATAACAGTACTGCCTGCCTAACATAATCTCCTTCTCTTATACTTTGAAAAAGCAGTACATTTGTGTCCATTGATAACTTTCATTCCTTTGATTAAGAGGTGCCAAAGACGTTCTGAGTATGCCACCATTCGTGATGACTCAAAAGACTTGAGACCCAACCTGTTAAAAAGAGAGCAGGAGGGGAGTGTTTAGCATATAACCTGCATCCTGATACTTACAGCCATTTTTAAGGCCAGCTAAGGCAGAAACCAAAATTAAACGTAGAATTCCAAAAGGCCGGATGCAAAGCAAATCCGCCAAGGACAGACTGGAACACAAAGAGCTCTACAGGAGAGTGCTTAATTTTTATGTCCTTTTGGACAAAATTCCACAAGGCGCACATTCATTGATCCAGCATGTATTCTAACACTCCCTCCTCCCCAGAATTCTTTTCCTGTGAAGATATGGATATCCCTCCCAACTCTCTCCTTGTATAGTTTCTTTTTAAAAGCTGGCTACAGAGACCTTGGATTTTTAAAGTTGGCTTTTAACATTTAGCAAATTGTTTTTCTTAAAGGAGAGTGCTGATAGTTTTATAATCCCGCTGTAGAAGTTTTATGGTAAAGCGCTGTTGTAGTAACCTTGTCACTAAAGGTGCAATTAAAATGTTTTGTCTCATTATTTTTCGTGTAGTGTTAGATTTGTGTGTGTGCGCGCGTCTCTAATGCAGATGGTCCATAGTCAAAGCTGTGAAAATTATGAAGAGAGAGAGAAAGAAAGGGACAGAAAAGGATATTAGCAGCATTAGTCATCATTACTCCTGCCCGAAGCTGTTTGGATTTTCCTATTGTTGTTGGCTCTCATTTAGTTTGTGAGTGAGAATCTTACCAAGAAGGCAAGCAACTGGAAGACCCAAATACTGTCTCCCCAGCACCCTGGCAACATATTTGAATCTCGGGTGGGGTTTTTTGTTGTTGTTATTTTATTTTGGGGGGGGGCATTGAAGATTGACTGGAAATTTGACATACCTTGTCCATACATGTAAGTAATGAACAGAATTGGCCAGCGTAGGTTTCTTAGAAAGAAAAGAATGACGACCTTCAGGAATGGACTCTGGCTTCCACTAGACATAGTGAACCCCTCAGAACAGTAATTTCTTTTGAACAGAAAGTTTTTCAATAATCTTAAGCTTGAAAATGTTTCACAGCAACAGAATTCCATGGATATTGTGGTAATTTGAAATCCAATGAGAGGGGGTGAAAAATCATTCCCTGGGAGGAGGCAGAATTTGTGTAAGATTTTACACACACCCCGCTCTTCCTGCGGTGCTCCCCTTTAAAGGAAAAAAAAACCATTTTAGTAAATACCTCATTAACTATGTGACACCAGTGGATGTTTCTGCAACATAGTTACTAGCATTAAATAGGTGCTAAAGGAGTTACTGTTCAAAGGCATGTTTTAAAGACTCTAACCATCTTTACTTATAAATGACAAGTAGCATGAGACATCAAAGGCAATGCAGAGATAACAGCTCCGAACTGCCAGCGTTGATCTTTTGCACAGGGACAGGCACACATGGTTATGCAAGGCAGTTGTGGTTGTATGCGAGTGTGTACGCGCGCACACAAATTAAAGTTCAGATTTGAAATGTACATTATCCCACTGGGGATTGCTCCGCCATCATGTCTAATTATTCATATAAAGAGGTAGGTTTCTTTTTTTTTTCACAAGAGCAACCAGACTGAGAGAGTGTGTTTACGTGCATGCTAGTAAATTAGAAACAAGGCAGTATTTCCATGTGCAGAACAAGTGTTCCAGTCCAAAACTTACACTGCGGCTTCTTCAAAACAGGCCCAGCAGAGCAGAAGCAGAGGCTGTCCTA